GTGTACTTCATATAACTGTGAAACTTTCCTGAAATTTTTCTTCTGCCTCAATTTTCCTACGGCGTCTCTAGAACTCAATTCAGCAAATTCGCTACACTTTGTTTCGCTTAGATTTTATTTGAAAGCATCGAAACTCTCTTCAGAAAGTTTGTCTGCTTACGGCCGCTGACAGAGGAGGCGTTTTTATGGGAAAACGCCTCGGGTATACGCCGTGCACCTATCTGTGGGCAGAGTTCGCACTCGCATTTGAAGTCTTCTGTTTTCCTGAAGAAGGTGTTAGTATCCTGATTGAGTTGTATTGTGCTGTTATATGGCACTCTTGTTTCACTTTCCCATGAACTGCTCTACACTTTGTTCTCCTCGGGATTTCAGGAATGTTTCATCATCGAAGACAGACCATGTTTTTGCACTACACTTTGGCTATTGTCTATTGTACTCTTGATCTATGCCGCGGAGCAAAAGCGCCGTCCGGATAGCGTCGCTTAAGGATAATAAGCTGATGGTGAGACTTATAGTGCTCTGCATGCTTTAATGCTCCCATGGAGCTCATGTCTGTGTGACTCTCCGACAGCGTGCAGAGCTCCTGGAGAACATTAGAGGCTGAAAGTGCACTCCCGGACACTGCACTTTTCAAGCCGTCTTGCAGCCCGTCTGTGGATACGACCCCCTCCCTTTTCGGTCGGCTGAATACGACCCCCTCGTTGTTCTTTGCGCAACGCAGGGTTGACCCTGTTGGGATTCTGCTACACGTACCGACGAGATTTTTCACCCTGCAAGAAACAAAAACGATTCATACAGCCTCATTAACAAAGCTTGAATTGTTTTGACAGACGCGTGTCAAGCTGGACTCGCTCACTGGATACGTTTCAATTGGCTTATTCATCAGTGAGCTTATTGATCAACGAAAAGATCAGATCAGAAAAAAGAAAAAACAACCACGACTGCAGGACGATTCCATAGCAGAATCGATTTAGGAGGATTTCAGCGGCTGAACAGGGGAGGCATTCACTCAATGCAATCTACCGATGAGAACTGTCTTCGAAGCGCGCCCATGAAGTGGTTCGGCAGCGAGTTCAGCTCGGCAGAAATCGGCCTGCCACTTCGTCGGTTTGCTTCGACGAAATGTCTGTCAGCGCGGAGAAACTGAATTGTGGAAACATCTTGAGTGCATGCGAGATGTCTTCTGCCACAGAAAACTCCACTAAAATCAGGAATGTTATTCGGTTGGCCAAAGCTTGGCCATGCACCGTGACATGACGAACCTGCGGCATCCATTCTTGTTTTCGCAGGCACCGCTATTTTTTTCTTTTTTTTTTTTTGGGTCGAGAGAAAAAATTGGGTTTAAAACATCTACTGGCAGAAAAGCATTTATTTGTAAATCCTGGCCAAACAGCGAGAACTGCTGGTATCACAATCTGCTTCTGTTTCTTCCTAGCCCAATTTGAGCTGGAAAAAAGGAAACTGTGCAAACTCAACATTTCGCACGTTCTAATAAATGTTCTGAAAAAATGAAAATAGCAAAAAATGCGATTTGGAACGTAAATCATATTCCTTGCCGAAAGCAATTCGAAAAGCCCTCCAGTACTGAGAGTTCGACAACCGCAAGAGTTTTTCGAGCAGCCAATATTGTAGCTCATTATAGATTTTTTACGCTTTTCGATACACTTCAAATAATTCGACTAGAAAGAGCAAAAGTGTAGCACATCTTCTTGAATCTAAGAGGAAGTGGGGCGCATAAAATTACAAGGGAAGACTAAACCAAAGGTGGAACGAGAATAGCACAAGTGACGTCTTCATTCCATAATCTTTTAATTGGCTTTGCTTCAGAAGGCAATCATTCCAGTCAATGATTTGATTTCAACGAAATCACTCACCTCTTTGAAGTCTAGCTGCTCATCAAAGCGGAAGGTTTTTCGTCTTCAACAAATGCAAGTCAAAGCTCAAACTACTACGCCATTGCCTTTGTTCAGTGGTGCGTTGTGTACAAAACACGTTTCTTATTCAACTCAAAAACCCTAATTTGTGTCACACATAATGAAAGTAATTCATTCCACTGTCACATGCAGTTTTCTGTAGATACTTAGCTCACGATCAGATTTTTTTTAAAGAACAATGGAAGAAGCATCTGTCAAAATAATATCGATTATTTGTAAGTTTCAAATAAAAAGATCGTCAGTAACAGAGTTGAGCTCGCTCTGATGGTTTGCTCAAAGAGCTAACAATAGCTTCAACACTGTATCAAAAACGGCCAAAAATCTGCCACTCCATCAAGAATCTGATTTCCGAACCGTGCGCGTGGAAAGCAGCGCCGGTTGTCATCTCCACCATTCCGCCCATCGTTCATTTGCCCTTTTTAACATGAAGAAGACCCATGACAATCTTGAGAGATCAAAGCATTCTGAATACTCGGGTGAGATTAGCTCACGCTAAATGTGCTTTTCCTTGCAAAGACACGTTCTTTTTGGAAAATTGTGCCAAGCTAGAGCGCTAAAGAAGGACAAGGTCATTCAGTGGCTTATTTCGTGGTACAATACGGTGGTGATGTCCGTTCCTCCAAGTGGTGCCACTGGAAACTGCTCACTTTTGTGAGCTGAGCTGAACACGGACATTCGAATGCAGGCGACAGGCCCCCGTGACAGGCCGGCCTACGAACACCCACGTCACATCACAAATGTCATGTCGCTATGTATCTCGAGATAATGCTACGGCGTCCGCGGGAGCCGACGCGCACTCGCAAAGCCCGGCGAGTGTGAAAAGTATGCGAGGGTCTCCGGTGCAAGGACGGCATCGGGGGGCAACTAGGCTAGTCCAAAAGTCCCGCAACGTATGGAAGGTTCGCGTTGCAACATTGAATGTTGGCACATTGACAGGTCGCTCGTGCGAGTTGGTAGAAGCACTGGAAGCGAATTGATTTCTGTGCCGTGCAGGAAACGAGGTGGTCCTGCTGGTGAGTCGCGCGACATTTGTTCGCGGCTTTAAAGTCGTTTTCTGTGGCAGCACCAAGGACAATCAGCGGTGTCGGTGTGGCCGTCTCTGAACGTTTCCGAAATTCTACTGCGAACACGTTTTGATGAGCGCTTAATGAAGATCGTTGTTGGTGTGGAGCAGCATCAATACCGCATCTTTCTGCGTACGTTCCACAGACTGGCTGCTTCGATACGAGCCAAGGACGAATTCTGTGCCCTCTTACAGTGGAAGGATACCAAAGTCGAAGTGGCCATTTGCAATGAAACCTATTCCCACAGATGTGTTCTGGGTCGCTGATCTCAGATCCGACTTCCAAATTTGCTGAACGATTCTCTGAACAGAATTACAAACGTTGTTTCACATGTGAAGTCTACTCTAAGGGAGACCGGCAGAGCATTCGATTGCAGAGCCGCTTAGGCGATAGAGGTAATTTTTTTTTTTTTTTTTTCTATTTGTATTGCTTTTTTTTTTTTTCTTAATTTGTTTTTTTTTCTTATTTATTTTTTTTACGAGTTTATTGCTCGCTGCCTGCGCTGGTGAGACTATGGTTCGAGCCTTGCTGAGCCCGAACGTTTCGCTCTTTGTAACTATGATTGCTTTACGTCCAAAAAACTATTCATTGTTGAAATTTGCACTATGTACAACGTTGTCACGTGTTCAGCCGAGTTCCTTTCAAGCATCAACTATATTCGTCATAATGTTGTGACCATTTATTGTGTCGAAGTGTTACAGTCACGGAGGGTACTCATTAATGAGGAAGATGTTATATGCTTGCTCACCGGACCCAACTAACCTGAAGACGAACTTCTAAAAACTGACATTCTGAACCAATTTCGCAAAGTTGGCCGACAATCAGTCGTTAGTTTTATCCAAGCCAGTAACCCTAGCGCTGTCCTACCATAGACGGCAGTGAGTGTGTACTTGAAGAAGTACCATCTAATTCTTTGGATAACGCAAGCAAATAAGACAGACATATATATTTTGTTTTGCGAGTAAAACTGAAAGTTTAATTCCATCCTCATGACCAGGCTCTGACACTGGGTCAATGGATAGATATGACTGCCCACACTCTTTTAGGTCAAAATTTTAGATTCGGATCAGAAGTTGTCAAAAGGGGTAGTTCAACACACTAAACACGAAAATCACTTCTGCTTCGCACGAAAGTGCCTATAGCGTGCGCTATGGGCAGGGGCGGTCATTTGCAAATGGCGCGCACACTTGATCGAGGCTCCTCGCTAGCTCCTTACTCTTGTAATATAGGCGAGTGCTGATAACTTGGCATAAAGATGTGTGTCTCCTTAGCAATGTCAGGAAAAGCAAAAGTCAGAACTCGCCGAGAAGTCGATCTCACGACCTCTTTCCCTCGGGCCCAAGTTGCTGCCACTGCGTTATCTCGCTTCATAACTACGTTCACCTAATCTTTCCACGAATTTGGATATGTCTCAGTACAAGTGGCTACTTTGACTTGGTATCCGTCCCTTGTAAGACAGAAGTTGACTACTCAGGGGGTTCAGTTAGGTCTTTACATCAATTTTGAGCTATATTACTTTATTTGTTAATGTGTCAAATATGAAAAAAGTGTTGACTACTCCAAGGTTGTAGTGCATTCAAAGGAGCGTTTATTGTTAGCGGGATGTATGTGTCATTTTATGGAAATATAATATAATAACTTCGAAGTGAAAATCACATACTCTCAAAAGTTGAGCGCCATTGACGTGGTTTTCTTTTTACATTGATGTAGAGCACTGGATGAAACCTCACTTCAATAGGAAGACCTCATACTGTATACAGAGCGTGAAGAAAAGAAAATGGAAATGAAGGGAATCGGGAAAAGTGGATATGACCGCGTGAACACACTGTCAACATCATTTGGACCACCCTGTACTTCAAATAGAATCGAATCAAATGAATAGGAATGCAGGTGACAAACTGCTATGAAGCATTGCTTTCAAATAGCCATAAAATAGGCAGTAGGGGTATAAAAAGGTGCCACGGTCGGCAGTTTACCATCACACTGAAATCCCAAACAAATCATGGAACGTTTCCTTTCTGCACTCATCGTCATTGGAGTCACCCTGGTAAGTTCATGCGATGCCTTACTCTTTCAGCGACGAGTGTTTGCCTAAACGATTTCTAAGAGCCTAAAGAGATAGGAAAAAAAAACAAAACTTTTCGCCCTTCCCTGAACTTTTTCAAAGGCCTGCCATCCGGTGCCAGAACCAAAAAAGCATGGATTTGGGAACCATACATCGGACATCACACTAGTCACCCAGGCTCGTTACGATCGCGAATCTAATTCAGCATTTCATGAAATACTTCCCACAGATGGATGTAAGCGATATTTCACTAAACCAAGACATTCCAGCCCTCAAAAATTGCTTCAGATCGAGCAGCGCTCTAAGAAACTAGGAAAGTTCACCGATCTGGGTTCGGCGGACGTTGGAGGCAAATTCGCATTCACTTTCAAACTCCTTAATTCCGACTGTGAGAAGGTCGTGGATGGCTTCTTCAACGTTCTTATAGCTTACAATACCGTTCTCTATTACAGTGATATTTTAAGGTCTCTCATTGGCTGGAGCGGGCTGGACGATATTATAGAAGTTCAGAATCGGTAATCACGAGCACCTCCATGAAGTGCACTGGACAACAGCAGTAACGGCAACGGTAATGGGAATAGAGCCACGAGCTACGGATCAACATTTCTTCGTGGAAAAAATCCGAATAAATTTTATGACAGTTTTAAGTTCTGCCTGGCGATGTGGTTCTTGAAGGGCGGAAGCAGTGTTGTAAAAAAGTGCAGCCGCTTTCACACACACGCTCCGCGGACCGAGTCCTGGGTTATTTATACACCTTCTGGGCCGAGCAAGCCTTTCATACCTCCAGAATCACCAGTAGTCAGTAGCCTACTTGTCTAAGAGAATCAAAACACGAACGCAAGTCATGTGGAGCAAATACACTCAAATTGCAGCTGCAATCCTGAATGGAACTAGAAGACGTGCTGATCGAGAAATGGACTGGCCGACGCTTCTTGTCTTAATTTTCATTTATTAATAAAAAACTGCCAGACAGGGTCAACAGTCACATGCTCTCACTTCTTCGAAGTGGTCCCCTATGCTCGAAGAAGTGAGCATATCTGTTGCTGTTCACGTTTTTATGCATTAAGGCCGATGTCAGACTTTGCGAATCGCGCGATTCGCGCGATTCGCTAGCGTCCGCGGTCGCGTTGCGGTACCAGCCAATTGAGTGATTCACTGGCCGCGACGCGACCGCAGACGCTAGCGAATCGCGCGATTCGCAAAGTCTGACATCGGCCTAAGATAGCTAATAGTGACTGATTCGCCAGAGTGACGCACCGCATAACAAATGAAAAACCGTTGCCAATCACCAGTTCCGAGAGATGTTATAAATATGGGAAGTTCTTGCAGTTTAGGACCCTGAAATTCAAATGTGCATACTTCGACACAAAAACACAACATTTTCGCTCGCAATGGAAACCATTTCAATCCACTCTTTCTTGTCAACATTGAATGAGTTTGCTAAATCCGTTTGCTGAAGTCTATGAGTTCCAGAGACAATGAATTCGAAAAGATGATCGTGATAGATTTCGTAGCATTTCTCTTTCAAGAGACTATTCAAACATTTGAAAAAGTGGCATTGGATAAATAAGAGTTCTAGTGAGTTCAAGGCCTGTGGTATAATTCAGTACCGCAAAAAGTTCATTTTTTGTGGGGTGGGTTTTGCGGTTGGCGGCCGAGGTGCATTGCACATACCCTCGCCTTCAAATAACCAGAAATTGTGCAATTGCAGAAATTGACGTGGCATCGATTCAAGAACATCTTTGAGCACACGTGACGTCACCTTTTCATCGAGAATTTAGCCACGTGTGCCACGTGGATTTCTGGCTGCATGAAACGGAGTGTAGAGTCGGTCCCTTAGTAACGGCCGTTGCAAGAAAATGTCTTCAACACCTTGCAAAGAATATTGTCCTGCTGTTATACAGTGCGCTTCGTGAATACATATGGACGCATCCCGAAATCTTACACATATGGTTTCAATCGGATCCTTATGGTAGCATGACTGGTTTGGTGGGAATTATGGAACAAATAGTCTTATCTTAGCACAAAATTATGGAACAAATAATCTTGCGTGGAACAGCTCCCGGTATGGCTGCATTTGTGCGAGAGACCGTCCTAAAGGTCCCAAAGACTCATATCTCCATATGAATGCCCGAGTTCACATTACAAAGATAACTCACCACGTTTTGAGAGAAATTGGCCGGACCATAACAAATCCTTCATATCCCGCAAAACCTCCCCAACTTTCCCCTATCTCGCCTCCTTTCATGAAAGAAAAGTTGAAGCGTATCAACGCGGTGTGCTCACCGGTAATGAAGGAGGTTGGCTCCGATATAAAGCAATTTTCGATAGGTTTCACAAAAACTCTTCAAATATAATGTTTCAGTTGAAAAGAAAGTCATCAAGTCAAATAACAGGGCAGCTTTTTACAAATTCTTGAACTTTCGTATACGGCAGAAAGAAAAAGTGAATCCTCTCAGGAAACCCAATGGCTCAATTGCGTTTACCGATTTTGACAGAGCCGAAGTACTAGCTGATGTATTTGAAAAAGTTTACATTGATATTAACTCCTCTGCCAGCTACGTTCTAGATAGTGGCCCCTTTCCCGCAACAGCAGACTAAATCTGGGACGGTAGTAAAGTGGCCTCAACTGCTAGTTACCATGTGACCATGAGCTCGTGGTAACTTGGTCATGGCTTCCATCCATGTCTCCCTAAAAGATGCGTAGAGCACCTCTGGAACCCCTCCGAAGATCCCCGTCGGAATGGTCGAAGTGAGTTCGAACTTACTTGGAAGTTGGGGTGATGACATCACGTGCTAGTAAGAGGATTAGCAGGGTGGTCATTATAAACTAACAGCGATGGCGGCAGAGGAAAAGGAAATAGTGCGCGCGCGGTGGAGGGCGCAAACATGCTGCTCTTCCTCCGGAGGACTTTTTAGAGATGGCCATCTCCAAACAGCCAGGCTGTGTGGGTCAAAGCAGTAAGTTGAAAAGGGAAAGGGAAGCAACTTGCATTGATTCCGTCAATGGTGTAGCGCCTGCGGTCCACGTTTGTGTTGGTCGGTCACGGGATCGATACTACTAGATGTCAAAATCTTTGCAACTTTTGTGGGTTATTGCCTTTTCTCTACAACTCTTTCACCGTCGATAAGAAGGGCTCCATAGTGCAGTGGTAGCGATGCCGCTCATGGGACGGTGCACCGAAGGTTCAAACCCGTGTGTGACGCGACTTTTGCAAGCAACGTGGTGGATGCTCACCACTTCGCCTATGGCAAATTGCCCTCAATGGGGACGTTCCACGCTGCCGCTGGCAAGGTTGCTGGATCAGCACCGCTTGGAGACTAAGATTTGCAAACAACATCCATTGCATACCTTTCATCAACATCTCTTCCAGTGTGTGATCGAGTGATCCCTGGTGCAGTGGCAAAAAACCCGGCTATGAGCCTACCATCCAGGGTTCAAGTCCGAGAGGGCGCAAGTTTTGCAGGTCGTGTGGCGAGGCTGGCGGTTTCAACTAGGGTCATGTCCATGTTTCCACGTTCTCTATTCCTCGCCAATGGGTGTAAATCACCACATTTGATTGCCAGTCTAGGGCACTTTACTACCGTCCCTGGTTTTCTCGCCATGAAATTTTGGAACTCATTTTACAATGGAAAACTTGTTCTTCTATGACTCCAGACGGCATTCCTTTTGTTTTCCTGAAAAAGATTGCCGTGAATCTCGCTACTCCTCTCGAATTTCTCTTCAATCTGATGCTCGTCCATGCAGTAGTTCCACCCAGCCTGGCGCCATGCATACGTTGTTCCTATTAAGAAAAAATTCCCCTGATTCTGATCCCCGCAACTATAGGCCTATCAGTCTCACATCGTTCTTCTGCAGATCGTTTGAAAAAATCCTTAAAAAGCAATCCTAACCTATGGTACCCACTTGGAATCCAAAAAAGTTCTCTCTGATGTTAGAGTCCCTCAATGACTGGACTTCTGAGCTTGACGTTAAAAACAACTCAGATGTCATATATTTTGATTTCGAAAAAGCTTAGATAAGGTCATCCATTCCATTCTGCTTCAAAAGCTCGTGCACGTTGGGATTCATCACAGAATTACGAAATGGATTGAAGAATTTCTAAACAGCGTACTTTCCAAGTGGTGATTAATGGACACTTCTCCGAGGTTAAAAAGGCTCCTAGCGGTGTTCCTCAGGGTAGTGTCTTATCGCCGGTTTTGTTCAACATTTTTTCATTCGATTTACCCCACTTGGTAGACGCTGTTGGTGTCAAAGTCAAAATGTTCGCGGATCATCTGTCGATGCACTTTCTCATTCTTCTCAACTTCAGGAAGCTATCGATGCTTTTGCAAGATGGTTCACTCGAAACTTGCTCCCGCCTTCCATCCATAAAACAAAAGTGCTCCTCTTAGAAGAATCTAATCCAAATATACAGGGTGGTCCAAAATTATGAGGACCAAGACATTGTGTCGTTAAAAACGCATAGTAGCTTGATGGAACAAACAAACTTCAGGGAAGTGTTTGTAACTCTTATCTCAAAGTAATTCCAGAATAGAATTGAGATCTGCCACCTGCCCCGTTTACACGAGCCTTCAGATGAAGGGGATGGCGCGTGCGGTGGCACGCAACTGAGGCGTGTCAAAATGTTTCCAGG